TGGCAAGAAAATTTTTTTGGAAATGTGGCGGGAATCTCTTAGCTTCTTTGTCACAGAACTGACGCTGAGGGCACAGGTAACCTCTTAGCTTCCCTGTGTTAAAGTCTCTTAGCCTACTCAGCGCAGGTCCATCGGGGGCACAGGCAACCTCTTAGCTTTCCTGTGTTTAAGTCTCTTAGCCTACCCGATGGCAAGAAAATTTTTTTGGAAATGTGGCGGGAATCTCTTAGCTTCTTTGTCACAGAACTGACGCTGAGGGCACAGGAAACCTCTTAGCTTCCCTGTGTTAAAGTCTCTTAGCCTACTCAGCGCAGGTCTCTTATCCTACCCGATGGGAATGGTTTATTATTTGAAATATTGCTAATACATCAAATTGTCTAATCTAGGATGAATCTCAATCTGATTTTCATGTCGCAAGACGATGGGAGAATGCACGTAAGGCGTCCGATCCTTTAATTCATTTCCACCAAATTATAAATAGCGAGGTGGTTGGGGTTAACAGTGGATCATTTAATGTTAATATATCAAAGAGAAAAAACCGGGAAGGTGTCCAAGGAAAGGTAAAATTTTTTTTAACTAGTAGTTGATAATCGGCAAATTAGTTCCATTATGCTGACTTTGTGTTTCTTCAGGAGTTATATGATGAGAGTATAAGTTGTGATAGTCTCGATGCAAAACCCATAGCAAAGAGAAACAAGGAAAATAAAAAGGTACAGATGCATTTTCTTTAGATAGAGGTCGTGAAACTAATTGTTTGTAATTCTGTTCTTTCATTAACTGATCTCGTATTTCTATAGAATTCGGATGATAAAATTAATAATATTATAGAAAAGCCTCATCTTATGGAGTCAAACCAGGATGATAGTTTGATATTGAAGTCAGCGGATTCAAAAATAAACCAAGAGAATCAGAGTTTGTGTTCGTTACCATCTGTTCCGTCTTCTAATATTAATTGCGAAGAAGGTAATAATGATAATTTTTTGACATTCCCGAAGGAATCTAATGGACTAATTTGTGCACACCACATATATATGTATATAGATGTCGTGCCTGAACATTACAATGCCAGGAAACGAACAAAAAATGTATATTCGTGGGAAGATGCAATTGACAAGATTGATTTTAGAAATACCTCAAGGAAGATGTGAGTAAATAATCTGGTTGCATCTACTGTACATTAACTAACTATACATATATCACATCTTTTCAGTGGATTTTTGAAAGTTACAATCTTTCCAATGAGTTCCGTAATTTTCAAAGACTGATGATTCAACAGGTTAAAGAAAACCCGTATTTGTGTTATACAGTAAGAAAGATATTCTTTAATTTTTAAATTCGAAAATTAGTAACAATTTTATTATGTAATTTTCTAAATAACTAATGATTTGATTTTAATAAACTTTTTTTTATATGAATGCCCAAAACCTAAGCTTTTAAATAAATACTTTTTTATTAAATAAAATTATGTAATGATGAAGATATTGGCATTTTAAGTTGTTAAAAAATTAAATTTCTAAAAATTTAAAATCCGAAATCAGTGACAATTTTATTATATAATTTTCTCAATAACTAATAATTTGATTTTAATAAAATTTTTTTATATGAACACCAAAAACCTAGGCTTTTAAATAAATATTCTTTTATTAAATAAAATTATGTAATGATAGATATTGGCATTTTAATTTATTATTAAAAATTAAATCTTCAAAAATTTAAAATCTGAAAATTAGTGACAAGTTTATTATGTAATTTTCTCAATAACTAATGATTTAATTTTAATAAACTTTTTTTTTTTTGATATCCAAAACCTAGGCTTTTAAATAAATACTCTATTATTAAACAAAATTACATAATGATTAAGATATTAGCATTTTAATTTATTATTAAAAAATTAAATCTCTGAAAATTTAAAATCCAAAAATCAGTAACAAGTTTATTATGTAATTTTCTCAATAATTTAAAATTTATTTTATTTATTATATAATGAAAAATTACTTGTTTTATATAAAATTTTATAAATCACTTGTTTATAATCTAAAAAAAAATCCACTTAAGTTTTTTCTTATAAAATATTTAAGTAAAATATTTTAAATTATTTTATAAATATTAAATTTTTAAATTTTTTTAATATAAAAAATTAAAACTTATTTTCTTTAAATTTTTTAAAAAATTCTTGTTTAAGCTTTTAATATAAAATAACATAATATAATTTTTTATAATAGTTTAAAAATTTTTTTTTAATTTTCAATATCATCTAAAATTTTAAAAAATAAAAATTTTTAAATAAAATTTGTCATTTTATTCTTAAGTTTTAAAAAATAATTAAATAAAATTTCATATGATTTTAATGATTTTTTATTTAATAAAGTAAAATATAAAATCAAAAAATTCCAAATAATTATGAATCATACTGTATATAATTTAATAAACATAATAATAAAATTTCAAAAATATTAATAAATAAATTTGAAATAATAAGCTTATTAGCTTCGGACTTACAAGGGTTTCCATTTCCTAGTTTATCGAATGTTTAATCAATTGTATCACCAATATCACCGTAGTTGTACAGTATTAAAATTTCATGCGCAATATATTGCATGAGGCTTTTATTTTCATTGCATCTTTATTATATTTTGAACTGCAATTAATAATGGATTTTACTAAAAGAATGATTGAAGCAGCCATAGGTAATATTTATTAATCTGTTGAAATTTTTTAATTGATTGATTTATATTCTTTACTTTAACTACGATACAGACAGTAAGCATATTTTCATTAGTAGTTATTAAGTAAATTCGTATAAAAGGTGTTTTAATTTATCTAATTTATATTCTTTCCTTTAACTACGATTACAGACAGTAAGCATATTTTTATTAATATTTATTAAGTAAATTCATATCAAAGGTGTTTTAATTGATTTGATTTATATTTTCTACTTTTAGGGAGTAAGCATATTTTCATTAATTTTCATTAATATTTATTAAGTAAATTCATATTAAAGGTGTTTAATTGATCTGATTTATATTATCTACTTTTAGGGAGTAAGCATATTTTCATTAATATTATTCATATTAAATGTGTTATAATTGATCTGATTTATATTCTTTACTTTAACTACGATTACAGATTGTAAGTATATTTTAATTAATATTTATTAAGTAAATTCATATCAAATGTGTTTTAATTGATCTGATTTATATTCTTTACTTTAGGGAGTAAGCATATTTTCATTAATATTTATTAAGTAAATTCATATCAAAGGTGTTTTAATTGATCTGATTTATATTATTTACTTTAACTACGTTTACAGTCGGTAAGCATATTTTCATTAATATTTATTAAGTAAATTATATCAAAGGAGTTTTAATTGATCTGATTTATTTTCTTTACTTTTAGGGAGTAAGCATATTTTCATTAATATTTATTAAGTAAATTCATATCAAAGGTGTTATAATTGATCTGATTTATATTCTTTACTTTAACTACGATCGTAGATTGTAAGCATATTTTCATTAATATTTATTAAGTAAATTCATATCAAAAGTGTTTTAATTGATCTGATTTATATTCTTTACTTTAGGGAGTAAGCAAATTTTCATTAATATTTATTAAGCAAATTCATATCAATGTGTTTTAGTTGATCTGATTTATATTCTATACTTTGACTACGATTACAGATTGTAAGCATATTTTAATTAATATTTATTAAGTAAATTCATATCAAAAGTGTTTTGATTGATCTGATTTATATTCTTTACTTTAACAGACGGTAAGCAAATTTTCATTAATATTTATTAAGTAAATTCATATCAAAGGTGTTTTAATTGATCTGATTTATATTCTTTAACTACGACAGGCGGTAAGCATATTTTCATTAATATTTATTAAGTAAATTCTTTACTTTAACTACGATTACAGATTGTAAGCACATTTTCATTAATATTTACTGTATATCAAAGGTGTTTTAATAAATCTGATTTATATTCCTTATTTTAATTACAATTACAGACGGTAAGCATATTTTCATTAATATTTATTAAGTAAATTCATATCAATGGTGTATTCATTGATTTGATTTTAATTCTTTACTTTAATTACAATTACAGACGGTAAGCATATTTTCATTAATATTTATTAAGTAAAAAAAATTTCATATCAAAGGTGTTTTAATTGGTTTGATTTTAATACTTTACTTTAATTACAATCACAGACGGTAAGCTAATTTTCATTAATATTTATTAGTATATTCATATAAAGGTGTTTTAATTGATTTGATTTAAATTCTTCACTTTAATTACGATTACAGACGGTAAGCATATTTTCATTAATATTTATTAAGTAAATTCATATCAAAGGTGTTTTTAATTGATCTGATTTATATTCTTTACTTTAACTACGATTACAGGCGGTAAGCATATTTTCATTAATATTTATTAATCTGTTGAAATGTTTTAATTGATCATATTTATATTCTCTACTTTTAGGGAGTAAGCATATTTCATTAATATTTATTAAGTAAATTCATATTAAAGGTATTTTAATTGATCTGGTTTATTCTCTACTTTTAGGGAGTAAGCATATTTTATTAGTATTATAAGCAAATCCATATCAAATGTGTTTTAATTGATTTGATTTACATTCTTTAACTACGATTACAGACAGTAAGCATATTTTCATTAATATTTAAGTAAATTCATTTCATTGGTGTTTTAATTAATCTGATTTATATTCTTTACTTTAACTACGATTACAGATTGTAAGCATATTTTCATTAATATTTATTAAGTAAATTCATATCAAATGTGTTTTAATTAATCTGATTTATATTCTTTACTTTAATTACGATTACAGACGGTAAGCATATTTTCATTAATATTATTAAGTAAATTCATATCAAAGGTGTTTTTAATTGATCTGATTTATATTCTTTACCTTAATTACGATTACAGATTGTAAGCATATTTTAATTAATATTTATTAAGTAAATTCATATCAAATGTGTTTTAATTTATCTGATTTATATTCTTTACTTTGACTACGATTATAGATTGTAAGCATATTTAATTAATAATTGTTGAGTAAATATATATTAAAAATTGTTTAATAGAGTTATATTTGCTATTTAGTATTCATATTAATAATTCAATTAATTTTTAGATAAATGCAATCGATGTGAAGAAAAAACTACAAGTGATTTTTGGTGTCGTTCTTGCAATTCTTCTTATTTCAAAAAAGATTTCTCTAAATGGACTAGCGGAAATAGAGATGTTGATGAATTCATACAAAAAGCACAGTTAGAAGCAACAAGTTACTTTAAAGTACTTGAATGGATTCCATACGAAAAATTCGAAAATATCGAAGAAATTGGTGAGGGTGGTTTTGCGAAAGTTTATTCTGCTAAATGGAAGGATGGAAATATCTTTTATTGGAGCAAATATGATCAATGGAGGAGATTCGGAGAAATTAAAGTTGCACTGAAATGTTTAAATAATTCCCAAGAAATATCTAAGGAATATATAAATGAGGTGATAACTATATTTTTAATACCCTTTCGTATTATTTTAATAGAATTGTGTATTTATGAATAGAAAATAAAAAATTATTTTATTTATAACTACATATAGGTAAAAAACCTTCATAAATTAAACGAAGACTATTCTAAAATTACCCAATGCTATGGAATCACCAAAGATAAGGAATCAAACTTTATGATTGTTATGCAGTTTATAGACCATACTATGGAAATTCACGAGTTATCGTGGAGAGACAAATTCAAGCGCTTATTTTTTATCGCATGTGGATTATACGATATTCACAAAGCCAAATTAGTTCATCGGGATCTTCATCCTGGAAATATTCTTTTTTCTAAAGAGAATGATACAGTTTACATAACAGATTTAGGTTTATGCAAACCAGCTAATTCTAATAAGAGCGATGGTAAATTATATGGAGTTCTTCCTTATGTAGCGCCCGAAGTTTTGCATAAAAGAGAACATTCAGAAGCTGCAGATATTTATTCATTTGGAATTATCATGTCTGAAATCCTTTCTGGAATTTCCCCTTTTAAAGATACTGATTGTGATGATAAGGAAGAAAGCAACGCTCTTGCGATCGGAATCTGTAACGGAGACCGACCAGAAATTCAAGA